TATCACCACCAACCACACGGCCCCATAATGTATGGCTAAATTGTGCTAACAACAACCGCCTTGTAATAATATATCGTTGCGCGGGTAACACCATGAAGAACCCCGAGAATGAGGTCCATTTTAAAGGACGGCTTGCGGCCAAGAGTTTACTTAATTTCTAGATGGTTGGGTAGGATGTATCGGTTATCAACATTGCTCAACTTCCTAGTTAGAAATGCAGACAGTAAAATTGCGTTCACACAAAATATGCCAAGACCTCAAACTACTTTCACAACACTCTTCTGGAAAACAAACAGGTTTTATTAAACCTTTAAGCTTACAGATAAAACCAAGTTGTTATTATTGGCTAGAAATCTGTCTAAATGTGGATGCTTACCGCTATGTCCTGAGAGCTGAACCCAGTTCGTCAGCCGTTCATCAGAATTAAGAGGCGATACGCCACCAACGGGAACAACGGACATGACTTTCGTCGAAAACTTTATAGAAAAAAATTGCCGTTAAGATGGGCAAAATCAAAAATGCATTTAACAGACAAACGTATAGGACCTAACTTAAAACACCCTTAACATTATAATCCAATTTGGACTGATTAGAAATAAAATGCGTTTTAATTTTACAACACGGTTGCAGGTTAATCCCTTTTTTGCACATTTGCTAAGGCTAGTGACGCATCTTACCTTCGCGAAAATATTTTGGTAGAAACAATTGGAAGTTAAAAAAGGGTTTATGACATACCTAACACTATCAAAAAAGTAAAAAAAAATTAAAAAGATGGTAACAAAATTAACAGATGCTCTTGTTCCATTAGGCACACATTCAGAGGATCTACTAAAGTGAAAATGCGAAAATCAAAGAATTTTTCACGTAGAGTGCAAGAAGCAAAGAAAACAAGAATTGAACTTATTTCTGTATTGACATTTTACTAAAAACATTATAATCGGAAATAAATTTTATCAGATCCGTCTGAATTCTAATTAGGGTAAAGCTGATTGCTTGATGGGTACGCAGGCCAGTATTTAACTTTATACAACTACATCCCATCAAACGCAGCGCATGTTACCAAACAGCCCAATTTAATCACCAGTATTACCTCTTCTAAGTCCAAACAAGGAAGAGTGAGCGGATGAAATGAAAATGCGTTTCCAGCCCACCACTGTAGAAACAAAGGCTAAAACAACCGAAAACTCTCCAATAGCAGATTAAACCTTAATAATATGCTTTAAGTAACCACAATAGTTTTTGACACTTGTATTAATAAATTGACGCTCACTTGCCCAGTAACAAAATTAATTTTTTTATTTTTGTATGAAATTTAACATTTTTTTGCAATGCTTTATAGATGTTTAAGTATCAAAAGATCAAATCTACTATGATGACTGCAACCACTAAGGTGGTCATTTCGATATTAATGAACTCGAGCTGGATCAGGAGACCGCCACTAATTGACTTGTATGGTTTCTGGAAAAATTTTAGTGTGTTGAACCATTAAAACCTAAGCACGTTTGATTCGACATTGGCTACATAATACTAGCAACTGTAGAATACCTCAGCTCATGTATTTTCGACCAATGACAAGCTTTACCATCAGCTAGTCTTAGTAAATCTAAGTTATTTACATTAGCTAAGCCACTACTGTCATAAATACCTATAGATTGTATACTTTCGCCTTCGTTGTGCATTGCTCATCACAGTGGACCGTGAACCGAGTTTATGGCGTTCGACCAAGCATTGGTGACGCCTGGGCTCCAAATTTAAGAACTTTGAATTGTTACACCAATTCAGCCTTTAGTGTGCCTGTCTTTCTCCTCTTGACCAAAATAGAAAAAATTGCGTTGGTTGGGATTTAGAGTTGTGGTAGACCACTGAAGTGTATTAATGCTGGCAATAAAATTGCCCCCAGATTTGATTATTAATGAGACTTGCAACAACCTAGTCTTGAGCCATAAGTCTAGCTTAAAGTTTTTTTTCAAAAATAATAAACAACCCCATTTAGAGGTTGGCATTTGAGAAGCACAAGTGTTAATTGGACATCTATTAGAGATTAAAATCAAGAGTCGTCGCATTGTGATAAACAATATCTAAAAGGCCTCGAAAGTCATTACACTCTGTTATTTGTCGGTACTGTAAACGGAGTGTCAAAAAATTTCTACTGTGATTTTTTAAAGGGCTTAAGAAATTTTGTTAAAAGGATATGTTGGAAAAAACACATTAGAGTGTCCCAAATGTTGCATCCATAATTATAAACAATGATACCTTTAGAATATGTAAAATAATACATTGTGATCGATATTTGCATCATATAAGAATGATTATTTTATAAAATTTGGCTCAAATGATGGACATAGTAATGAAGTTATTAAGAACTCAACGCCATAAATTACTGATTTGATTCACCTTCCAACTACAAATAAGTAATTAGTAAATAATTAATGATAAGTCCGTTAAATTTAATTTGTTTTTAAATTCATTTAGTGTGAGTGATTATTTGAATTAATCTTACCTAAAATCCACAACTACACTTTGTAGTAGCGAAACATTGATTTTCTAATTTCTTGCTTTTTAAAAATATTTTTTTGCAAATCTCAAAATTTAATGCTCTGTCTTGTATTAACTTTGCCAATTACTGAATGTTTTTGCATATCTTTAGACGTAGCACTTTTTAGTAAATTAAATGCTAAGGTTTTGTTGATGTTAAAGGCATAACTGCCAAAGTAACAATTGTGTTTTTTGCAATAACCATTCTTTTAATGGATAGATACCATAATCGTTTGCCCGGTTCAATTGCATGGATTCTTTGTTTGCAAGGTTGGTGTTTTCTAGTCGTCGCGTTATCTTTCTTGTAATATATGCTTGACGACTGTTTTTTACCGCTTAAACCTTTTACCTTTTTTGATTTTTTAATAATTTTTAATAAATGGTCTTCCGAAGTGTCCAAATCGTGTGGTAAGTGTGCTAAATTGTTATAAAAAATGCCTTTTTTATTGTAGCTATGACCGGTAATGGATGTAAGGTCTGGAGACTTACAAAACGATAGTTCGTCTATGGTATTTTCGGTTTCAAACGATGAACCACCGGTTCCTGATATTGGAAGTACTGTAATAATTAGTGGAATCAATCAGTCCGAAGCTGTCTGTGAATTTCCTTCCAAAGTATGGACTGGCAAACGCGTACTGTGTTCCTTTTCTTCTAATAAGTAAGGTTCTTGAAACGCGTAACTGTATAATAGTACCGACCTGGATGAATATCCTTTTCACGCTGTTACGTTTGGTGAATCAGGAGAGCTACGCGGACTACCATACAATGTAATCATTCATGTTAAAGTTAATGTAACATTTAGGACCATAACTACGCAAAGATTCATGAAGACGAGACGGCTACTGACAACCAACTGGCTCTCTTGGCTAAACTGGCGTTGGCCAAACACGACACGGGTACATTTATGGAACTACCACAATCTGACCCTCCAAACGATTTTGATTCGGCTGCCAATGCTGTAACTACGCAATGTTCTGTTGATGTGGGCACAGGTTCTGCTCATCGGGGATCAAGTGTACCTCATGTGACCATTATTAAGAGCCCATTTGTAAACCAAACCTTACAAGCCGCGTCTCCTCTCCAGCCTGCATCTTCTGCGTCAACTTGTAAAGTCGCAACAACTAATGGTAGGACGATTCTTCTCACTCCGAGTAGAGGAAGTTTGGGAGCTTCTGTCCAGATACATCGCGTTTCCTCTATGTCATCGTCTCAGGTTCTCCTGAGAAGCGATTTTAACTCCGGAGATGGGAACGTCTTGAATGGTATTCCTGGATCAACCAACAACACCATACGTTGTATTTGTGGGTTTAATCGCGACGATGGTTGTTTGATTCAATGCACAAACTGCAAGTAAGTAATAATTAGTTTATTTCTATTATATGTGTTTCTATGTTCGAATATTGTTTTTGAAAACTTGCATTGCAAACTTCGGTTTTTCTCTTGTAGAGTACTACAGCACACAGAATGTATGGCTCCATCCTCCAACTGTATCCTTCCAAAACCTTACCTTTGTGAACTTTGTCAACCACGCCCTGTTATGGTCAGTGAAGCTGTTGGATTACAGCGCAGAAAAATGGCTGCATCTAGTTCTCCGCAAGGCTTGCCACCTAAGACCATCCGTTTGACAAGTCCTGCAACAGCTTTTCGTTTACCTCGCGCGCATCCGCCCACTCAGTCACAGACACACAACCCTACTATTGCCCCCAATCGCTTCTTTTTGACTGGTGGCGGCAATGGTCAGGCACCTAACGGTGCGTCTTTATCTGTTCGACCGATTCAGGTGAGGCTGGGTGAAGTTGTCGGTCCTCCTAACACTGGTGCTACTTTATACCAAGTGGAATCAGCATCGATCAATCAGTTTTCCCCCCGATTTATTAACTTGGATGCTGCAGTCGCTAGGCAGCAATCACAACCGACCTACATGACGGTTGGTAATCCAAGATCCTCCAAGCGAAAGCAGGATCTCTTTACTTGTAAGTACTCAAACCACGACTGCCTCCTATCTTGATCATTCTTTTACTGTTTCTTTACCATTTACAATAGTGGCGGGAGAATCGGTCTCCTCGTTAGACCATATGGCAACCAATTACGTATACGACGAGAATAATTCCGTTGTCAATGACCAACGTATATCAGAATGTTCCACCAACGACCACAACGGTGCTCCATCAACCATTGAAAGTAACGATTTGCCCTTGCCTAAGTTTTATCGCACACCCTCACAGGCGGTCGTGTCCGCAAGTGGTTTGGACTCAGTGGAGTGCGCTAAACCCCATTTAACTGGTACTTTGACCACTGCTTTCGGAGAAACCACCGCCGATGTGACTACTGCCTCGGCACTCTCATGCGGGGTTCCTGAACCAGCCTCATCCGATGTCGTTATATGGAGTGATTCTTACGAAAAGGCTGTTGAGACGCGACTCTCCGACGCTCTGAAACATCGAATTCGGAATATTTTTCTCACCCCATCAGAACGGGAACTCAAAACCCTACAAATGGCTGACTCTTCGGCCTTGTCACGGGGTCAACAACGATGTTGTGTCGCCGCCTTTGAACTCGGCCGTAAGGTAACTGAGTCCCTTCTCATAGGCTTGTCCTGCAAGGTTTGTCCCGTGCTGTCCACCTTACAGTCTGTCTTTGTCATAGGGTCTCGTTGCCACAGAGTGCATTTACCCAAACCAACCTATTATCGAATACAAAGGCTATGCAATGTTGATGGATGAATATAGCCAGCAACACGATTACAGACGGCAGTAAGTTTTCTAATAGTGTCCTTCGTTGCATTTCGTATGAACTCTTATTTCCCTAACTGTGGTTACTTGTATTTTTAGTTATAATCCTTTTGTGCTGTTCTACAAGCAGCTTGATAAAGCAGTGATATGCTTGGATGCAAGCAATTACGGCAATGAGGCTAGGTTTATTCGCCGGTGCTGCATGCCGAATTGCGAGGTAGGTTTTTTTTAACAGTGTGGACAGTGCACTCTCCGTGCTAAAGCACTTAAATAACTGACCTCAACTTATCTCGACCCCTATTAATCGACGACGATACCAGTCGCTTTAAACTGTTTTTAAGCGTCTGCCAAGGATTCTCGTGGAATATTTCGGAATAGTTGACACGAATCGTGCATTTTGATAATTCTAAATTTTGGGAATAAAATCCATTTTCCACTTTCTCTAAGACCTTTCGTGGGGTGTATTTTTCTGAAGTCTTTTCTTATGACAGATCATTGTCGGGAGTATAAGAATGGTTTTAATTGTTCTTTTAATCTGAACCCCAAAGTAACTGAAAAACTGCCCTGCAAAATCTATATTTCCTCTTTCCCCCATATCAGAAATCGTGTTAATACAATGAGACTTGTCACGGCCACTTTTATATATCCTAGGTGAGGCTCACATTTCCACCAACGGACTCATTTTCGTCTGTGGTGAATCCTCAATGCATTCAGTTTGTTGTCACCTCAGCGATTAACCGGGTGATTCCGGTTGGTGCGGAGCTCACACTGGCCTTTGACTTCGACTACACGGCTTGCACCTACCCGGTGCAATGCGCGTGCGGTCGTGGAGCTCCCCTGTGCGCAGTGGCCGACTGGTTTCGCCGCCACCACCACCACATGTCCTCCAATTCCCATCACCGAGACTATTGTGATGCGGAGGAACCTCATCGACGTGATTCTGATGAAGACCAAGATGATTATTATGACTTTGATGACTATGATGATGAGGAGGAGGAGGAGGAGGATGCCAATGGGGTTACCGATTGTCGATACGGCCGCTCTCTGGTGCCTCGTAGAAGCCATCATCACTCAGTATTCGTCGAAAAACCTGGCAGAAGTAGACTTGCACTAAAGTATGTCTTGTGTTCGTAGTCATGCCTCCCTATTGTTCTAAGGTCTAATTTGATTCCGGTCTATTTTGTTCAACAATTAACTCATAATTACCGCTCTTAAATTGCTAAATTATCACGGATCAAACTCATTTAACCAAACACAAAGCTTGAGATTCACATGTGAATGTTTGAATTGGAATTTTTCTATTCTTTCACAACCTTGCTGAATAATTCTTCATTTCATTTGTCTATTTATTCACTGATTTAAACAACTGCCAGGTGATGAATGGTTTTTGGTGGTCTAGAGGGGACTGTCAAAAGCCCATCGTTTATTTGCTGCCAATCGTCTTTGCGTTAGTTCCGTTCATTGAATCTAACCCGGTACATTTAATGGGGTTTGTTTACTTACCCGACAAATAGTGGCATCCATTGCCGAAAATGTAACCGTTTTTTTCTCTAAAAAGCGTTCAGTTGGATGTATAAACACGTTTCCTTCGTTGAATTCACAATCAAAGTAACTTACAGTCCCTGAATTGGTTGTCTAGTATGATTTATCAATATAAATCAGTGTCTAGCGACAAGTGGATGCATCATGCTAGCCTTTCTTTCGGTTGATTATTTGCGTCAAATTTCAGACGCTTGCTCACCCCGAAACGAGTGAGCCCAGCATTCTCTCGTGTGCCCTACCCCTCGGCGAAACACATGGTTCAAGAGCAGCGCCACCGCCGTCACCAAAACGGCCTATCCGCCAAACTGTCTTTGAACAAACGCGGTGGCCGCGGCGGTCGTGGAATACGCGGGAGTGGTCGTGGTCGGGCCGGCGGGGGTTTTATCCGCCAGCACTACCGAGTCAGTCGCCCTCGTGGCCGCCCTCCAAGTAGCGGCGTAAAACTCAACCTAGTCCATCGTCCCCCTCTTCCTTCCCCATCGCGGCATCAACACATTGACGAAGAGGAGGAGAGTCATCTCTCTTCCTCTCCTTCCTCCTCATCCCCACAGACCGACGCCACCGAGCCGGGCGCTACCTCTCCATGGCTCTACTCTGCTCGCTCACCAACGACCGGTCCGCGGACCAACCGTGGTGATGTTGTGAAAAAGGCACCGCTCCGGAAACCTCAGCAACGTCGACGACGTCAGGCGCCAAAGTTGCACTCGCCTCGCCGGACTCGCCGTAGGTCGTCAGTTGACGCGGAGAATGGCCTTGCTGCCTCACCGCTTCTAAATGGTGGGCGAACAAAGGACATTGCCTTTTTGGACACGCGGGAGGAGGAACAGCAATCACCGATTTCCGTTGCCCCTAAGGTGATGCTTTGCTTGTTTGCATAATTACTCCATTTCATATTGTCATTTTTCGAAAGGCCTATTATGGTTATTCGAAATGCTTTGAACGGGGTGTGTTACTAACGGTTTTTTAATGATCTCATATTTCATTTTTACCAGACAAAGCGCGTCCGCAGACTGAGTGGTCGGCTGTCAAACGGCCTGAGTGGCTCGAGGCTGTCGGAAAAGGTTGCCTCTAATTCTGGCAAACGTGGTCGCCGCCAATCCGACCTTGAAGCCGGTCCTCCAAGCGAGCAGGGTGATGGGGAGGAGCCTCAATCTCAGTTAAATGAGCATTCATCTTTAACACGATCGAATGTAAGCTCTGGCGTCCTAAAGTTTTGGAAACATGCGTTTCGACTTCCTGAAATCTGGTTTTCACTTAGGGTACTTTGATCGCCAATTAATATTACTTGCCTACTGCGAAATATCTGACATATCATATATCAGTGTTTAAATTAACCCATTCTTAGAATTCGTTTTCCAAAATATTTTAGAAGTATCATCGAAATCTTATCAGTCTGTTTGCTGTACATGTTCAAAGAGTAGGTTTAAAACCATCAGTAAAAATTCGTCATTCAGTAACACTTTCTGAATTGTTGCTCATTAGGCACGTAGAGGCCACTTTATTTGTGGGTGCAAACAACTCGTTGGTATTTATTCCTTGCAGTTTTATAAAAAGTAGCAAATGGAGGGAGACCCTCAGTTAAATTTTATTTCGTTTCCCTTTTTAATCCTACCAGTTAAAGCCCCTCATTGTTAGCGGTGTTGTCTTTTCGATGTTTTTATCATGGTAAAGATGTGTAAAATGCTTACATTTCTATATTCTACACGTGAAAATCTTTGCTTGCCTCAAGCTTATGTTTAAATACCCGATAGTTGAAGTGACTGTTGTCATTATGCCGACACCCTACTCGCAACATGCGGTTACCAATTTCAATATTTTCTTAATTTTATCGTGAAATCGAGCGAAAACTAAGCTATTTGGTTAATAATAGTGGCGTTAGGACAAGCATCAACTTGTGCCGTTGAGGTTGATGTAATCGTAAGTCCTTTGGGCATCCCATTCAATAAACAAATTGGCCGTAATTGCATGTTTTGCGTTAATAAAATCACTAAGGTGAAATTGGCCCCATGACCTTACTGTCGTAGTTCCTCGCATCGTCTCAACTGAGTTGCGTTAAATAGTTGTTGCTGTTACCCACACGAAAGCACGTTTGTAGGAGGTGCCTGTTGTTAGCACAATTTAGTCACACATTATGGGGACGTGTGGTTGGTAGCGATCGTTTTATTTGAGAGCAACATTCTGGAAATTTAACTTGCCTTTTTTGTGCTCACGCATACTGACAAAGTCATGTACAAAGCGAAGGACTTGAGGCGGTGAGCATTTCATAAGACCGAGAACGAGTCGGGAGATGCGATGGTGGGAAAGGATGCGACTCCAACATTGAGCAGGACGTCAAGGTCTGTGTAGAGGTTCTGAATAGAGGGCGTTAGCCACACCAGGTCAGTAGTTGGCGTGTTGTCGTGACGACGCAGATGTAGTTGGTAAAAGGATCGGCGACCCTCCACGATGTTTGAACTAACAGTGAGCTTAATGGACTAGTATCGGCGTACCAAATTTGTGTGCAGTAGTGGGGTCCAACATAATGTGGCACGCATTAGTTGGTAATAGTTGTTTTTTGACTGGAATGATGGAGGTGCTGAGTGGTGAATGGATCGTGTATTTGAAGGGGAAATACCTCGTGACAAGTGCCAGATATAACAAATAAAAGGAGCTAGAAACTTAATAGGAAGTAGTAGGTGTTTTGCATGAAAACGGTAGGTCGAGGTATTACTTTTGGGCAAAATGATATATTTGTGTTTTGAGTTATTCGCTAAGGTTGGTTACTTGCGTGTTTGTTTTGTAGTGCTTTCGAGGTTGACCCTGGATTAGTTAATTGCATCAAAGCTTCATACAAGTGACAACAAAGAGTGTCAGTATTTGAGGGCGCAAATTAACTGAGCAAAATAACTGTCGTTGTCTGCGTTGTAAGCATTAGGCCCTGGTTGATTCGACAAAGTAGAAGTGCGTATCCTATGATTCCCACGAGAGTGATGCCCGGCAGGTGATAGTACAGGAGAGTTTTGTCGAATGTGTAGTGTGATGATCGATGAAATTATTTAATAGTAAGCTTACAGTGGGTGTGTGAAATCCCTGAATATAGTGTTAGCCGCGGCTCATCACCGTTATCCGACAAATTCCTGTACTATCCGCTCGAAAAAGATGCCCAGCCATTGGGTGTAGCGTGATCATCGAACCGTTGCTATATGTCCACTGCCCGCGATACTCGAAAAGCAGTCAGAATTCGGAGGCCAGACGGATCTACCGCTCCCACACGTTCCAGCCTGTGGTGTTGCATCGCTTGAGATGCGATGTTCTGTTTATATGGCATGGGCAGCCAATCACCGAGACGTTTGAACAAATAGGAAGGGTTGAGGTGTCATGCATACAAGGTGCTAGCACAATTTTGGTGTGCATAGATTAAGCCGTCAACGAAGGCTAGTTGCCACCTTGTTCTTCTGTTACTTTGCGGTAACACCTTTCACGACTTGTGAAATCGCTACTTTGGAAAAACTCAAGATCGACACCCTTCTGGATTACTAGCCACTTGGTAAAATCCATTGGATATTGTCAACCAAAATGTGGTTTTTTCTTCGACAATTGTTTTTTTTTCCTGAAACAGCGTGATTGAACTCACCGCTGTGGTTTTGCCAAACGTTGACCTTCGACGTCATTGCTGTAATAAAAACGTGCATTGAGTTCTTAAGTTAGATTGAATGGTCGCGTTGATGACCTTAATGAATTTTTGTCTTATTTGGAGTGTCAGTGGTTTTTAGCGAAACTAATGAATTTGAACTACTGTGTGTCCGTCGTCGTCTTGAGTTTTTTTGTTATGTAATTGTCTGGATGCTAGAGACAATCAGGAAGGTTTCGAGATGTACCCCGTTAAAATATTCTCAAGTCAAGTGGTAAATTGAATTTGTCTAGATTTCGGACCAAGGTTTCTAAAACTCCTTCATTTCTAAAATTTCTCCCTATTGTCTGTGTTATTTTTGTGGTGTTATCAGGTTCTATCCGTTATTGGCAAATGTTCTAAAACTTTAAAATATCCAAACTTGGGGGGTAAATGGTGGCTTGTGTTTGAAAATAAAGGCAAACTTGTCTGTTTTACTCTCTCCTTCGCTCGCTTCGCTCCTGTTTATTCTTTTAACATCAATCAGTGTGTTGTATGAGGTACGTTGATCTTTTAGAAGTCACGTGAGGAAAAGTGGCTAGCAGAAGTTATGCGCCGAATCGAGCGTATGGAGAAGAAACGCAAAAAGCCCGCAGCATCGAGGAAGCCTAAACACGAAAAGCCCGAGGATACTCCTCTCGACTCGGAACCCCCTCACTTGAAATCCGCAAAATCCTCCCCTTCTGTTGACCATAATGAGGTCCAAAAACCGACAAATCCTGAATACGAAGAATCCTCACAACAGCAGCAGCCCAAAGAGGAGCTCCCTATGGTCTCCAAGAAGCAACGTCGCAGGTCAACTCCTTCTGTTAACCATGACTCTCACCCATCAGCAACTCCTCTTTCACGAGAGGACAGATGGATGCAGTGGCAGCTTCAACGAATCGCCGAAATGGAATCCTCTGATGTTCTCTCCGGAGATCAGCGTCACCAGTCTTCAAACGGCTCTTTTGTAAAGCAGCGACGCCGCGCCAGTAGTGGGACAAAGTCTAATTTCGGACCTCATTCCCCGCCGCCAAAAAACGAAGACGCGCCCGATGGTGCTGTCGGAGCGGCTGGAGAAATGGAATGCAGTCTAATTGTATATAAGCACCGAGAACAGGATCCCATGGCCAAATTCAGTCGCTCGCGGACAGGCCACCGTCGGCAGCAACAAAGTCAAAATCCCGTAACCAGAACGTTTAGCCTGGTGGAGAGTTTTGTAGAGGAGGATTTGCCTGCTGGTGGAGAGCTGCTCGATGATCATGCTGTTAACGGTTCTACCGTCACAACATCTGCCAACGATTCCACTAGTGCCAATGCTGTTTCCGCTGTTGCTCCATCGTCTCCACCCAAGCCATCTAAAAAGCGGTGGCTTTCTCAGGTGAGTTTTTCTCTACCCTTAACTCAATTTAAGTCGGCGATAGTCGATCCAGTTTGGGTACAACTTAGAGTACTGTATGTGAGCTTGTTTGTTTGATTGAGAGAACGTATCCTCGTAGCAATCTAACAGTCGTGCGCCTAGTATTGATCTCGGACAATGGCCTATGTGTGCGCCTGACGGAGAGTCCACACTTAGTACACGTAAATTATGTTTAAATCTTTCACGTCCTTTTCTTATAGTTACTTTCCACATTTTTGGGTCGCTAGTTAACTTCGATCCACGTTGTGCAAAGGACGAAATTATTTATGGCTGTAAGATAGCGCACACACTTGCATACTAATTAGTACTGCTTTCGGAACTGCTAAATATGCGCTTAATGCCCCAGTTCTTGCTTTTTACTGTGTGAGCATGTGCATTTGGCCATGGATCCCTGTTTTATTGACTTATGTAGCCTACTTTTCATCCAGCATTAAGTAGTATCAAACCATCTTTATTTGGACCTGATGTTCACTCACGTTGTCATGTTTTGCTTTGGGACAAAGTCTACCTGAGGAAACTTTCCGGCAATGTTGTTCCCTTCTTAAAGCGCGATCTCGATGGGATTTTTTAATGTGCTAGCGGTTTCATGCACTGGTCTCAGACTCGTCATGTCCTTGTTTGCGCTCATCAAAGTGTTACCAGGACAGTTCGTGAATGAATGTTGCTTACCATTCACCAGCGGTCGGTTCGTGATTTTGCTTATTCTCACGCGCATCACATTTCCATAGATATTGACATACATGTCCCCACAGAGATACGAACGGCCTTCCTCCTCCCTGGGTTTCTTTATTTTACAATGTGCATAAGTGTGCCGCCCCAATTTCAGCAAATCTCACCCGTTGTCACTTAGATTGTTGTGCGCGGGAATTTTAACCAATCTGGGTTCCCCATTTACATCTAGAAAGTAGTCCTGTCTGGTAGACAAATTGCACCATTGTGTATTCCCTTATAATAGGTTTTATTGTTGTCTAGGCAGCATTAGTCCTGGACTGACGTCTCTCCGGGTCCCCATTAGGTAATTTTGACCCGGGTTTATTTTTTTTCTGTCTTTTGACAGGCTTTGATGGAGGAAGATCAACAGCAACAGCAAAGCCATCTGAACCGGGCAACCCCGTCTCCCGAGAGCTCGGTGACTCCGCCTGATCATCAAAACAACCAGCAGAACTCTCACACTCAGAGAGCGTTGAATCCAAAGAAACGTATTATATGTCAGCTGGAGGAGGCGATGGCTCACCAGCACCAGTCCCCGTCTCCGCCTTGTTCCAATGCGGTCGAGGTTTCACCTTCCTCCGAGGTTCCGACGCCCGCCTCGGTAAGTCGATTGTACCCTGTCGCTGTAGTGAATCTTGTGACATTTTATGCTTGTGGTAAACGGGCACGCACTTTTCTCCAAACTTGTTTGTCGACGTTTGTTGTGCCATGCGTGCTACAAGGTTTCGTTTAATCGCTTTTTGAGTAACTGTTGTACTATTCGTAGCAGAAGTGTTCCTTGAGTTGGTAATGGAGAAGCGGTTATTCTAGCCAATCTTATTTTCTACTTGGTTAGTACCGAATGTTCTCCTTTCTAGAAGCTTCCACCCAAGAAACGGCAGACTGAAGAAGAAGTTCCTAATAACGAGAACAGTGTGGAGATTTCGAAGAGGCAGAAGCATGAGAAGGTGCGCATGTCGCTTTCTGAATACCGTCGTCGACGTGGCCTCAGTACAGCTTCGGTGGAGTCCACAGGACCAGCCAAACCGCAACCACCGGCAGCGACCACTCCCGCCCTTGCTATTACGCCACCCGACTCTCCTGTGGTAGATTTAAAGCGCCTTGTTCCGCCTTTATTCATTGAACCACCCACAAGTGGACTCTCTCTAGGGGGTCCTCGAACGCCAAGCGAGTCCCCTAGTGATGAGGATGAAGGACATCTAGTTGGATTGCCGTCACCGCATCTAGCATCGTCCTTCCGTCGGTCTCAAAAGCCACCTCCTTTTTCTGCACCAGCTTCCTTGCCGTCTCCTCGAAAGGAGGCCGTCGAACGACTTCTTCAGAAATCTAGCAGTCTCGATACTACGGAGCATCGACAGGTGCGTTCCGGTGTTTTGTTGGTTCCGTCTAGACTTTTGTAGACTTGTAGCGTTAGGACGGACTGTTGCTGTAATGCAAGTTTCATACTCCAAGCTTCAAATGTAATGTTGGGGGCATTTAAGGTAATTCTTTCTTTATAGACGCCGCCTTCACATCGCCCCCCACCAGGCGGGTGCGACCGTCATCTCTCGGGCCATGCCCAGAGACGCGCCTCACCGCCTCCTCCCCCTGCTCTTGGGACTGCGTCGGACATTCTAACGTCGATTTCTCCTCACGCCTCTGGACCTCCTCCTATCGAGCACGTTCTGCGACGGGATCGGGAAATTTTGCAGTGGCAAGTTGAACGGCAACATCAGCACTTACACCAAACCCCCACGAGACCACAACGGAGCAGTTGCGCGTCAAGTTCGAGTACCACACATCTTGGGGGCAACCATCCGCACGTCGCGTCCAACTCAACTCCTCCCCAATTGTCGACGTCCTCACGATCTCATTATCCTCTCCTCCCTCAACCAATGAACTCTTCAACGCCTACCTCTGCATTTAACCATCACAATATGGAGAGCATTCAAGAGACGTTGAGAAGGAAGCAGGAACACTTGAGGGCACAACTCCGTGATCTGCAGAAGGCCACTGCAAGTGGAAGTGGATGATGACAGGTACCGCAGTTAAAGGAATTCCCTAGTTAACACCGACTTTACCAATGCGCTCACAAATCCGGCCCGACGTGCCTTAACGCGTAGTACTTTATTTGGCTCGCCTTTTACGGTCTCAGTCATGAATCGCAATTCCCCTACACTCCAACGAAGTTGTTCAAAAAGGTCTTTACTTTTGCCTTTTTGATGTCAAATTGCCCTCACGACAGTTCAAAGAATTCATCGGATGTACGCGCCTAACTAGAGGTTTACGCGTCGTTTTTTGTTCTGGAGGCCAGAGTCCAAATTGCCAACTGATGTCACCTATTTTCTCACGAAACTCCTGACGCACTCGTCATAAATGCTAAACTCTGAAGACTCTTGTTTGTGTTTTAGCTCCGCTGTTTCGGCGTTGAGGCATTCTACCTACGGATTTAACAACGGGCCTTTGGTTCCTACAGCATTTCTTGAAATTTACCCGAAAGTATGCAGATTTTGAGCATAAGATTCACCGACAACCATCTTCCTCTTACTCCTTACCTGTATGCCACCAAGACACCCGATACCTATTTCCACATTTGTATTTGTGCAAGTTTTAGCAAACGTGGTCTCCTCTTGTACAGCGTAAGCGTAGGTGTCGCAGCACTGCGGCTTCCCGCGTTTTTCAGGACCTGTCATCATCATCATCATCTCACCGCCCCTCCTACACATGAGAGAAGCATTGCTACTCTGCTGTTCCTGCTAATAACTACTTTTATACCTTACCTCCGCGTTACTGCCAGCCCTCCTTGTACATATGATGGACGCTGCTTTAAGGCCTCACTTGTTGAGGTGAATTTACTCCCCCAGCTCGCCTCAACCCTCCCATGCCCGCGAGTAATAACTCTCCCGTGTATAATTTCGTTTCCATTTTTCTCATTCTTGTGCCCTAATAAGGCCCAAGTTGTACACACTTTCCTCAGACACTCCCCTATTTAATTATATCGCCTGTATACTTAAGTGCAACGCCCATTGTTTTATCAAGAAAGGCTTACTCCTACTCCATTTACCAAATAAGTGTCGGTATCCTCATTAGATTTGTCGGTTGGCTAGCACTGTGCTTCGTAGCTGGTGCTTATCATGTGTAGGCACAAGCCCTACCATCGCATTAACTGCCAGTTTTTTTATCACGGACGTTGTTGGCCTTGACTCTAATTGTACCCAAGGAATCCTACATAAGAGTGGTTTGCGGTACCGGCAGTCCAGTTTTGGTAGTGGTGAAGAGCTTGTTCTGTCGTTCGTCGTTGTGAATGAAGCAACCAACACAGCAGCCAGATGAGCTACCTGAAGTGTTTTAGTATTTAGGGGATTTTCGATTCGCGTGTAAGACCACTCGACTGCCTTCGTTTGAGCCCACGCCGGTGAAGTGCATGCGCCCCGTTGGGACCATCTTCATCGGATAATCAGCGACGTCCCATCTCCTGAGAGGCACTCCCTGATCATTATAAAACTGTCACCTATTTTAGTTGAGGTGACCCCTGTTTTCCTGCTTGATCCAGGTCTGTGTAAGCCACTATAAGTTAAATCTTGCACTTGACGACTCCTTACTAACCTTTATCGATCGGTTCCTGGCACTCGCCTGTGATCCAGTTCAATAAATGCCAAACTGGGTGCGCACGTTTCTCCTGGTGCACATGCTACGATTTATAATTGCTGCCCCGACGATTGTACGAAAGGTAGCGTTTCTGAACTGACATTCCCGTGGGAATCTCTCAGCAACGTGAATTTGTGTGAGGAAGTGAGTGGTACATTCATCCAAAATGCGTAAATTCTGTAAATTTAAATGCTTCGCAAATGCCTACCAACAATGACTTGCTTTTCTGATTTACGAATTTTACGTGTTCTCACACTCCCAGCACTGCTCCCACGTACAAAGCACGGAAACAGCGTACTTGGGAATATTAGGTCCACATTAATAGAGGATATTGTACTAATGAAAATCGTTTGTCTTTATGACTGGAGGCGAATCGGGACGCAAAAGTGTGGCCTGCTGCGCGTGCACTGTCGTTACCTCTTTGCGTAATATCTAATCGTCGATACAGCCGTCGAGCCTTGATTGGCTGTGACAACGGACGAATAGGAGAGGCCCTAAATCTCCTGGGTTCGCATGCGCCAGCCACTTCAAATTTTACTCCAGCCATCCAAAAATAGTAAATTTTGTGGGTGTGTTTTGCGAGTTAGCTGTGGTGGAAATTATGGCTGTTGTTTTTTAAACAAACCCCTTACGAATTCGGGAGGCACCTAGCTAATATGATTTTGTTATTTTCTGCCGCCATATATCCAATCGGGTTTCTCACATTTCAACAAAAATTTGAAGCAGTGTCTCAAGCATTTGGTTAATTCGCGCCATCGCTTGATGTGACTCATCTGCACACCACATGGTGGTGCCGCACATTCAACAACCACTTCCTCGAATGAGTTCAACCGTTTTGACTTTTACGACATTCTCTTAATGGTAATCCAAACGCGGATGTATTTGATCTGATCATTACCAACGACGAACGTGTTGGTAGCATTGGCCGTTGTTGGGATTTCAGTTCGTGGACTCCGATTCTCTTCCTGGGAAGTAGCGAACTCAACTCCACTTCCCTCTATGGGAACTCGCATTTTACGCAGTTTACATCATTCCTTTATTTGGTCATAATTGTAAACTTTCACCAACTGAAAAACACCACTTCTGTTCGTAATGTTTACTTGAATGTGACCTACTTTTGACATTTTGACCCGCTGCTAAATCAAAGGTGCAAAACTGTTTGTGAATTGTTTGTGATTGCAGTTTGGACGTAAGGAGTCAGCAACCGGCCAGCAGGCCTTATTTTTTGAGTACCATCCGGTTTGGCGCAGCACGCCTTTACCCAAATTTAAATTATTTTTCATGTTTCCTTCGAATTAGGACCGACGTAATACTCAGAGCTCTTATGCTCTTTTCAGTAATTTTAGGTGCATGACTTAGTTTGTGCAAACTTTTTTTTATTTGAGCTTGAGATAATACTTGAAATAGAAATATTCCAGCGGTCTTTTGTGGCGTTGAAAGGATCTGAATCACGGTTCCAGAACCCCGGACGACAAGTCTACGTGTGTTACATGACCTCTCGGAATAGCAGTTTACTATGGCAACTCGTAAACAGCACATTCAATTGCTCTGTGTGTTATGCAAATTCCAATAAGGACAGAATGCTTCTAAAGCACGGGAATCAATTTGTAGTGTTTTTGGTGCTAGCATTGACCAGCCTCGAAAGTTTGAAGATGCGGAATTGCAGGCTTCACTGGATGATGACTCAACGCAGACACAACAAGATCCAGCAGCTCAGTTAGGGGTCACCTAAACAGCTTTTTCCAGGCGCCTGTACCAAATGGGAAAAAAAATCAAAAACCTGGAAGTTAGGTCCACATGAACACGCGCCTTTCACTGTTGCTCGCCGGTACCTAAAAAGGGACTTCATGTGGAAAATTGTGACGGGCAATAAAAAGTTTATTTTTTTTACGACGATCCCATACGTCGCTGCTTTTTAAATTCAACAAATCTGCCGAAAATTCAGCAAGATTTAAGTCCTAAACCTAATAAATAAAATCTTTTTTACATCGTGATTGCCTTTATGAGTTTGTTCGGCAATCGGTCCACCAAACCTTAACCGCTTTTCAAGAGTAACTGCTTGTCGTATTTTAACAAGAGCAATAAACTCTCTTCGGACTGTAGTTCAGGCCTGATTAATTCATGCGCGCGTTTGTTACGATGGTCGCAAGTTCACGTGAAATCTTGATTCACCCGCCACTAATGGCGCAGTTGATTGGTTGACCCGAAGAATATGCCTTCTTCTATCCCACCAATGATTGACAACGAGTTATTTGATTAACTTTCCCGGTGTTAATTTAGACGTCGCGGATGGCGGACGCTAGTAATTGCATTTTCGAGTGTGAGTTTTCTTTTGATAAAAATTCTTTGAAGCTTAGCAAGATTTCACAAACTGAAACGTCTGCTTCAATCACTTTCTCGGTCCACGTTTCTGAGCACATGACCTCCTCGAGCTTTGCAGCCTTTTATTTAAACCTATTTGAGTCAAACATTAACCCATCAGTTAAATATTGCAACATTGGAATTGAACGAAATTTGAAGCTCGAAAGTGTCATCCAGAAGATACCCTTTTGGGTTGAGTGAAATCAATTACCCCTTAAATGGCAAGTGCATTTCAGTTTTTCACCAAACCTCAACGTACATTCATTAATCTTGCTCGTTTTGATTAAATCTGCCGCTTTCTCTTGACTAAACCCATGGAATCAACTAGCAGCAAATCCCTTGTGGATTGTGCTGTCTGTAAATCTAGTAGATAGGCCAAAAGCCCTTAACACCCACACACACGGAGAGTTTGAATTGACGAATTTCTACACAAGAGCACCTTCCACATAACGGGAATATTATATACACTAGTTAGTGAGCCCGATTCTGGTCGACTGTCCATCATCCTTTGCTATTTCCGTATTCATAAATCATCCCTATGTCGCCACCCACAAATGTTTTGATCACAATGGGTTCCCTGGCACGCGGCTGTTATTGGTTTTGTTGTGTTTGCTACGATTATGTGAAATACAATCTCTCAACGCCCCTGCATTCTCTGTTTTTGAAGGGTTCTGACTGATCTCCTATTGTTTGCGTGTTTTTACGCCGTCAGCGGAAAATGGGGAGATGTCTATCCACAGTTCGTTGATTAATGAATAACCTCCTGGAATGTAAATCCCGGCACACCATCCACCGCCAAACACAGCACAGGTTTTTTTTGATATCGTTGCTGCAACAAGCGTACTATTTTGAAACAGAAAATCAGCTCTTAATTTTGGACCAAATACACATAAGTATTCCCTACCACAGCAGTTCGTGTCAAATCGGCACAGGTAAAAACACTCCATTTAACTTGAGAAATTTTTATTTATCAGTGTCACTGCTGCATTCGGCTCAGGTATTGATCTGTGACGTAGGGTCATGC